GACGAACGGTTCCGGGTCGCCCCCGGCGAGGCGTGCGGGGAGGAGGCGGCGAGAAATGGGTTTTCGGTGGAATGGACGGCGGGGGAGTGCAGATTCTGCAGCGACAGCGGTGGATTCTGTGGATTTAATGAATCGATTCACCATTTCAAGTGTTATTGCCCTGATCGCCCACATGCTTGGCACTGCACACCTATTCCGGGTTAGTTTAGCTTCCTCTTCCTCCCTCAATTTACCTTCAAATATCAAAACACTACTTTAAATCAATTTTTGATTAAATAGAAATACCATTCCAATTCTTCCATTCATTTTTCAATGCCTTAAAACCTTTGGTTTCACTTTTAATTTTGTGTCAAGTTTGCAAGAGTAGCTCATATCTATTAGGTTCTTTTAATCCTCTCAAAATCGTGGTTTATTTTGTTAATCCATTTTGGATTCCAATTTTTTTTAGAATACTCTTTGAATGTTTTAGAATTTGGTACTACATTAATATTTATGGTTACATCTCAAAACTCTAATAGCTCATATCTTATTAGATCCTTAACCAATAACATATATCTCACCAATGATATGATATTATTTATTTTAAGCATAATACTAACTACTGTGTTTTCTATTTTACTCCAAAATCCCTCCTCAATCAAATGTTGTTTCTCACGATGTATTCATAATTTTTCAAAGGCTTTGAAAACTAAATTTATATAATTTACATGAGACTTTTAGAATTTATGAGCTAGAAGAATAAATATTTGAAGAATTTAAAAGGAAATAAATCTGAAGTGACGAAATGGAAACAACTATAAAAAGTAGTAAAACTAATTTATTTTATTAAATATCAGGATTTATTAAGAAAATAAAGAAGAAGAACTAGCCGTGGATTCGATTTACATTGGAATTGGGGTCAAAGGTTTTTACCTTTTTGGGCAACTAATCATAAAGTTGACATAATGCAAGTGCTGTTTGGGGCCGGGGGCAAATATGGAAAGGAGGTCAACTTGTCTATTTCCCAAACTTTAATTATCTACCAATTAAAAGAGTCGGCATTTCGTTAATCAAAGCAGGCAGTAGCTGCCGCGTGGTAAAATTTTATTGGATGTCATGTAAAAATTAAAGAGGAAAAATAAATAAATATCGGTTGTATTTAGAATTAAGATATACGAATATCCATTACTTTTCGTGTGAAGTCAACCAATTATTTATTGAGATAAAATTCATATGGCTTCAGTAAATTAAACACGTAAAAACTTTTGTTTAAGAATAAACTTTGGTTTCATTTAATTAATTTGGGAGACTCTAACGATTATTTATTATCTTCATCATCTTAAATTCTTTGGTTTATCCTTGGTAATCCTATTTTAAGAATTGTTTTCAAATCACTGTAAAAATAAAAGAAAGAAAGAAAAAAGAAAGCGAGAGAATTGTTTTCAAATTTATAGAAACTAAGGTCAGTTCGAAAATAAAATTGTTCGTGTGTGTTTTCTTAAATTATTCTCATGATACCTGTGTTGTTTTTATTTTAAAGAAAAAAAAAAGAATCCTGAAAAACAAGAGAAAAATAATTAATTTTACGGGGTGAGGTTTGAACTAAAAAAAAGAGGTTTTTTTTTTCAAATGATATTTGGGGTTAGAGGTGAGGTTTAAACTTTGAAATGAAAATGAGAGATACATATGTATGCCTTAAGATCGTGCATATATATGTATTTGTTTACTTGCTGTTATCTGTGATTCCATTTTCATATAAACATCGTCACATAAAACAAACCAAAATTTTATTTAATGATTTTATTAATTTAGTCATGAATTTAAATCTACTAAAAAAATAATTAATTTTACCGATCTATTTATTATAATATCATGTATAACTCGTCAATGAAAACATTAAACAATATAAACCTAAACCTAATCCGTTTTCTTATTAAAAAAATGAAATTTCTACGGAAAAAATGGGATTGGACAGATTCCAAGTTGTTGGGGGGAAAAAACCGATCAGTAAAGCTAATTGTGAGAAGAAAATCATATCTGGAATTTAGCGGAAACTCGTGAATGTCTCATCTGTAAGCCGCCGTGAAATCCAATTCGCCGGCGAAGAGACGGGAGAAAATGTTTTCGCCTCATCTTCTTCAACAAACATCTGATACTCGACCTCAGCAAATTCTTCATCGGCCATGACTACCAGAGCTGCGAGTCATCATCTTATTATCATTCAACTCAACTCTGCGATTTTCCCCTTCAGATTGCTTCCGAGCTAAGTTTTCTACCCATTCACACCGCTACATTCTCGTCATTTTATGATTCTGTTCTTCGTTTTGTGCAAATTTCAGTCAGAGACGCGTACCTCTTGTCCTCTCCATCTAACTGTTGACCTCTGACTTCTTGTGCCGTCGGTTCATATCGGGCGAAGACTTCTGTTCTGACTGTAGAGAGCAACTGCTAGACGTGGTTATCCCTAGGCCACGGATGACGAAACCTTCATTTAATTATAGCCCTAATTTTGAACGTTCAAACAGAGATTATGAAGAGTCAAAGAGTCAAGTCTATGTAATGGCTGGTCAATCGGGGGAAAATTGGCTCTCTCCAATTCATCAAACCGCATTTTCCTGTACGGTGCCTTGTAAATTTCTGAAGGATGTCCCCACCTTGATTTTTCTCTTTTGGTCAGGTTTCCTGGAGACTCCCATTCCTGGCTTTTATCGCAGTTTGGGATTTTGGACGAGGTCAGCATAGGAAACCTAGAAATCATAAACATCCCGGAGAAGTAGATTTGGGGATCGAGGTGGTTTTCTGGTAATTTGAATACCGAATTCCATATGGCGTTCTTTTGTTTCATTTTGTTCTTCGTTCTCTCTTATCTAGTATCACTTCAGTTGGCTTTGAATGAGAGCAGTTTCATTCATCCAGATTGTCCGGCCTTCGAATGCGGGAATCTCGGCCTCATAAGATTCCCTTTTAATAACGAATCGCTCCTTGATTGCGGATTATACACAGTAAGAAACTGCAAGACACAGCCACAAATCCAGCTGAGACGTGGAGGAGTTTGGTTCGGAGTTGCTTCCATATCTCAGGCTAATGTCATCCTTATCGACGACCAAGATCTTAAGAACCGAATAGATTCTCATAATTGTTCTATTCTGGCCGATCTGGCTCTTCCAGAAACTGCTTCATCTTCTTTATACACAGCTGATAATATTACTTTGTATAATTGCAGAGATAAGCCTAAAGATGCTACTCCTCTTTTCCTTAGTTCATTTAACTGCTCTGGTTATTACACATACCCCAACTCTAGTGGTCCGTCCAACTGTTTCAACTCTAAAGTTCTAAAAATTCCCGTTAACCCGGTTGGTTCCCAGAATCCAATTATTGAGTTTACTTATAAATTCCATCTTCAAGTGACCATAGCTCGTCGTTGTTATGAATGTTATTATGGAGGCGGCCAATGCCTGACTACCCCAGAAGGAAACTTCAATTGTAAAAATGGAAAAACTATAACAGAAGGTATTTGACTTTCTATGCGGAAGTATTTCCAGTAAACTGTGCTTTAAATCATCTGGATTGGGTTTTGCAATTTCTTTGTGAGTTACACTTTCCTGGTTTGAACTCTGTAGAGTATAATTTTCTATGTTGCTTTGTTCCATCCTTTTATGCTTACTGGAAGTGGGTGTCGGTGTTTTTCTTTTTCCTTTTTTCCTTCTTTTGGCTGTTTCAGATGTGTCTTTGGAGTGTGTTCTTGTGCATAATCTGTACTTTGAAAAACAAAAGCTGGACTGTTCTGTACTGAATCATTACGAGTTCAAAACTAACAACATTCTTTTTCATTGCTATTGCAGGTGAAAGAAATAACTTGAGGATAGCACTAGGTAGAGTACCTTTTCCGAGAACTATTAATTCTTGTCTAAATTTGCTTTGAGCTAATATCATCTAGACATCATATGGAATGGGATGAACTGTTGCTGGAAACCTCTCTTCCGTATTTTTATAACCTATTTTTCCCCTCCTTCCCAGCAGAAATGCATCTATGCACGTCATGGGGAACCTATCAAATTATTCTAAAATAGTTGAAACTCAAAGTTCTATTATTTTCTTGTCGTTTAGTAAAAAAATGACCAAAATTCTGACCACGGCTCCCTCCTCCTCCTCTTTGTCTTCAGGTGCTGGAGTCCCAGGTGTAATTCTGCTTATGTTATTATTTGCTCTTTGTCTTTGGTACTGCAGAAAAAGGCATGCTGCTCCAAACATCCTAACAAGGAATATATCTTGCGAACCGTTCTCAAAATTCGACCTGGAAGATGGTGGTGTGTGCTTTGAAGTCCCTGTTTTCTCCTATGTCGAACTCGAAAAGGCGACTAACAAATTTGATCGTGATAAAGAACTTGGAGATGGCGGTTTTGGAACTGTATACCATGGTAAAAGAAAAACACTCCTCTGTTTACTAACTTTTGTTGAACTGCGTTTTGAGAAGCTTATTAAAGAACTCCATTAGGAACTCTCTAATGTGATTCGAAACCTTCATTTTACTTCCAACTAGGAAAACTTCATGATGGTCGGGAAGTTGCAGTGAAACGCCTTTATCAACATAACTACAGACGAGTAGAGCAATTCATGAACGAGGTCAAGATTCTCACCCGCCTTCGCCACAAAAATCTTGTCTCCCTTTATGGATGTACTTCAAGATGCAGTCGTGAACTTCTCCTTGTTTATGAATTCGTCCCAAATGGTACTGTTGCTGATCATCTCCATGGCGAACAAGCAAATTCTAGCTTGCTCACATGGCCCATTCGGATGAGCATTGCCATTGAAACAGCAAGTGCTCTAGTTTATCTCCACGCTTCAGATATCATTCATCGTGATGTGAAGACTACCAACATTCTCTTAGACAATAACTTTTCCGTCAAAGTTGCTGATTTTGGGATCTCTAGACTATTCCCAAACGATGTCAGTCATGTCTCAACCGCTCCTCAAGGGACCCCTGGCTATGTTGATCCCGAGTATTACCAGTGTTATCAACTTACAGCCAAGAGCGACGTGTATAGTTTCGGCGTTGTATTAATCGAGCTTATATCGTCAATGCCAGCTGTGGATATAACAAGGCATCGACATGAGATTAATTTGTCTAACTTAGCTGTGAACAAAATCCTAAAACAGGAGATTGACGAGCTGATTGATCCATGCCTCGGGTCTCAATCAGATAAAAACACTCGACAGATGATAATGGCAGTGGCATGGCTAGCTTTTCTGTGTCTGCAGCAAGACAAGGAAAGGAGACCAACAATGGAAGAAGCTCTGGAGACTTTAAAGAGGATCGAGAGCGGGGAAGAAGACGGTGAGAATCTGCAGGATGATAATGGTGCAGTGTTGAAGAGCTTTGATACAGCTCCTTCTCCAGAGTATGACGAGGTTGTGTTGTTGAGGAGTAAGAGGCAGCAGTTGTCTCCTACTTCTGTTGCTGATAAATGGTTCAGCTCAACTTCATTAAATCTCAGTGCATCAACTTCAGTATCATCTCTTTCTTAGTTCTTTTTTCTCTGCTCTTTTTAGTTTAATGATAGAAGATGAGATAATGATCATGTAGGAAAGAAATAAATAATTTGGCTCCTTTTTCTAAAAACTAATATATGATAATGTTACATGTATCTGAGAATGACTTTTTTGTATACAATATACAGATTACAGGGCAGGGAATGTACATAGGAATTATTGATACTGTCATGCAGCTGTAAATACATTCTTTGCACATTTTTTTGGGGTTATTGATTGGATCATGGGCCAAACTTGGGCTTGTATTTTTTGGGCCGGGCAGCCCAATGATGACCTGGGCTTTGTGTCTTCACTGTATGGAAAAGTAGTCCACAGTGGTCAGAGTTTTATTGGTTGTTTTGCTTTGTTGTACTGCATGATATATAGGACCACTGGCAGGAAGGGGCCATTTTTCAAATTACTTATTGATTTAAATAAATAATTTGAAAATGTCGAAAGAATTTGACTTTGATAACTTAACAATTTTGATTGATATAAAATGAATAAGATTCCTTTCTCTAGTTGGGATTTAAGGGAATTCAAGTATTATGGTCACATCGGGTCATGTTAATGCCTTTAGGATTTGGGAATCTAGAAAGATCTATGTTTGGTGAAAGTTGTTGATTAATTGACGTAATTTTTAACTATAAATGTCCACATTCATTACATACTATTGAAGTTTTTTTAAAAAAACAATAGAATAAAAAATGTTGTAGAACTTATTTTATGTTATTTCAACCCTATAATGTGTTATATAATATATACATCATACTTCAGAAAAAAAAAAATCATGATATTATGTTGTCTTATTTGAGTGTGAATTTTTATTATTTTTTTAGAATTTTGTTGGTGGTTGTATGTTTGAAGATAGTATTTTGCATATAAATTGTTTTCTTACTCTATGTTTTTTATTGTTATGTAAAATAAGAATTTGTTTGATAACACCTTTTCTTTTTTCTCTTAAACAATAACAAATTTCTTTGTCTTGTAATGAATTATTAAACTATAAAAATGGTTGATTCAAAATTTTGGACGAGTGTCATATCAACTGGCAAGTTGAAGTGAGCTACAGACGAGTCGAGTTCGTGACCTGCAAATAAAACCTTGCACTGGTTAGTGCTTGACCACGTACATTCCAAAATTTAAATTAGCACTTAGTTGAGTTGGTATCGAGCTGAGCTTTATTAGATTAAGTATCTTTTGAAAGGTGAGATTCCTCTTGGAAGCTTTGAGTGCACCCATACTACTCAAACACTCGTATTTAGTATTAGTAGATTTTTCGTCAACGCCATTCACCTTCTTTTGGAGTATCCCAATTCTCAGACAGGCACTGTCTTTTAGGTCGGTGGAAAATGATTTCGCCACTCCTACTTTTTCTCTGCACAACCGAGCTAAGATCTAGACATGTGTTTCTGAACGAGTGGTTCACATAGGCAGTCTCTAATCCATCTATAACAAAAAATTGTAGATAAAAGGAATTATCAACCAACAAACTCAATTTTATAAAA